TTTTTTTTTTTTTTTTTTTTTTTTTTTTTTTTTTTGGTACCGGGATCGATCTCGGGACCTTGCGAGGCAGGCGGCGGAAGCACTGAGCTAAATCCCCGGCAGCACCTTCGTTTTACAGGCGAGGAAGGAGAATCCAGGTCGCTTGCCACAGTAGGTAGCCTCTGCCTGCCCGCTGCCTAGGGGTCACTGTCTGTCTCGGAAAGTGCCGTGGACAGGCACCTGGGACGTACTGGGGAAGGGCAAAGGGCGGCCGAGCTCAGCTGTGCGATATCCCAGCTGGCGTGGGCAAAGCCCCGCGTTGCCCAGTCTTTCACCTTTTCAAAGGTAAAAGATCTGATGTCTTCTCTCCTCTTTAATATTTTTTGAAATTATATTTAAATGGGCTATGCAAAGGAAAGTGTTGCAAAATTCCCTATGATACCAATAAAGGATTTGCTTTAAAACGAGCTGCCTGTGGGACTATAGTCCCGTAACAAGGCAGCTGAAACCGTTTTAGTGGCATCTTGGAGGCTTTGCTAGTGTAAACATCCTACTGTGCTGCCGAGGTGTGCAGTGTGTGCGGGCTGGGTGTGGCTCGGTGGTAGAGCATTTGCCTAACACGTGTGAAGCCCCAGGTTTGGTCCCCAGAAACCCCTCCAACAAAGCAAAACCCTCAAAACCCAATTGTGTATAGTATCAAGTACATACTTGATAACGAATGACTGGCTTGTGTAGTATTTACTCTTCTTTTAAAGTTAGCTACAGAACAGCTTTAGGCAGGTCCTTCAGGAGTGTTGCAGAAGAAACTTATTATAGGAGATAACAGCTCTGTGTGTGTTCTCCCTAGACACCTTCCAATGGTACAGAATGTGGCGGGGGAAGCCAATTTCTATCTATGATCCTGACTGTAGGCCTGAGTATGTGTGTATGTTTCATTTTTAACAAAAAGTTTTTAAAAAGATTAAGCTATAGAAAAAAGCTTATAAATAAAGATATGAAGAAAATCTATGGTAGAGGTAGAACGTAGCCTAACCTTTCCAAGTCAGCAGATGATCAGACTAACACGTGCTAATGTTTTTTCTGCTACACCCCTGAGTCGGATGTTGACTATTTTATCCTCCACAAGTATATAGCTTATATTGGAAGAGAACTTTAAGCATTGAAATAGAAGGGAGGAAATTTGATTGCCCTAACATTAGAAATGAATAGCCATTCAAAATTAACTAAAACATGAATTTGGAGTGAGACTAAATGAGATAAGTATCTTTATTTTGGTAAAAAATATTTTTGTACAGTTGTAATTGTGTTTGTGTTTTACCCTAGTGTTTTTACAAAAGATTCTGAAAGTTTAAAAACTTACAAAGTTAGAAAGCAAGCTTTAGTTAATACTTTTATTTTTCAGTGCTGGTGATCAGACCCAGGCAAGGCCTGTCCCGCTGAGCTATATCCCTAGTCAATTTATTATTGAAGAAAGAAAATGTATTTTCATAAATGTAGCACAGACCACTTGTGCAGTGTTTCTGAGGTCTATGGTGTTGTGAAGTTCTGGGCCTGTACGTCCATTTCACCCCTCTCTCTCCTTCCTGCACAACTCCAGTCCTGCAGTCCATGGTGAGCGCTCTGTGCAGGTGTACCATTTTTATCTCTTATTATTGTTATCGTTATTATTTTGGTGGTACTCGTGATTGAACTCAGGGCTTTACAGATCCCAGTTCTTTTTCTTTTTTCATTTTGAGACTGGGTTTACTTAATTACCGGGGCTGGCTTAAAACTTGAGATCTTCTTCTCAACTTCTCAACTAGCTGAGATTACAGGTGTGTGACTCTCTACCCAGTCCTTTTTTATCTTTTCTATTTTCTTTTTTTGTATTTTTGAAACAGGGTCTCCCTGTATTTAGTCCAAGCTGGTGACATACTCATTATGTAGCTCAAGCTGGCCTTGAACTTTTGACTCCCTGCCTCAGCCTTCCGAGTACTGGGATTACAGTCTTGCTTCACCACACCGATCTCATTTTTAAAATCTTTTCTACCATATTTTACTGTACTTTTTCTATATTTAGATATGTTTAGTTTTTACATACATAAATACTTCATTGTATTGCAGTTGCGTACAGAATTCAGTAGCATGCCATACAAGTTTGTAGCTTAGGAGAGATAGGTTGTACCATAGAGCCTAGGTGGCTGTACCATCTAGGTTATTGTAAGTTTATTCTGTGATGGCCACACAATGACACGATTGCCTAATAATAACGCTTCTCGGAACATATCCTTGTTGTTAGATGATATGGCTGTATATATGAATTTTGAAGCATAATAAGTGGAAACTTTTGAACCTCCTACTAATTTTAGAAGTAATAAGGCTAAGTGTACAATGACTCTAGTTGCTGCTGTTTTAAGTTCTCTAGGCATATTGACTTGACAACACACCTGTGAGACAAGTATTATACCTATTTTACAGATGAAAAAAACTGAGACAGAGAAACTACGTTACTTACCAGCAGTGGGTTGAAGCCCAGTAAGCTAGCTGCAAAATTTGTGATCTGCTTCTTACAGCACATGTGTGGTATTCTGTAGTTCTAGCTTGATCCATTTCCTTTCTCCTCCAGAAGTAATTACTGTCATGAGATTAGTGTTGTAAAATTCCTTTTCATTGAAAAAATAAATAGTGTCTAAGACCTCCCACAGACCATGAAAAGGGATTTACAGATCACATATTCCATAAGGAACTTATACCTAGAATATGTAAGACTTTCACTACACTCAACAATAAAAAGACATGTAGCCCAATTAGAAAATAGGCAAGCCAGGAGTGGGGGTGCATGCCTATAAGCCCAGTATGTGGGAGGCTGAGGCAGGAGGATTCCAAGTTTGAGGTCAGCCTGGACTCCATAGCAAGACCCTGTCTCAAACAAACATAAAAAATAAATAGTGTCTAAGACCTCCCACAGACCATGAAAAGGGATTTACAGATCACATATTCCATAAGGAACTTATACCTAGAATATATAAGACTTTCACTACACTAGACATGTAGCCCAATTAGAAAATAGGCAAGCCAGGAGTGGGGGTGCATGCCTGTAAGCCCAGTATGTGGGAGGCCGAGGCAGGAGGATTCCAAGTTTGAGGTCAGCCTGGACTCCATAGCAAGACCCTGTCTCAAACAAACAAAGGGGAGGAGGAAGGGAGTAAAGGTAACAGCACAGAATGCTGATGAGCACAGAGCGACAGGAACTCTCCTTAATATTGGAATTAAGTACAAGTCCTTTGGAAGACAGTTTGATGTTTTCTCACAAAATTAAACACACACTGTCAACACTTGTACTACTGTGTGTTTACCCAAAGGAGCTGAAAATTTATGTCCACATGGTAACCTGCACATGGATGTTTATAGCAACTTTATTGAGAAATGTCACAACTTGAAAGCAGCCAAGATGTCCTGCAGTAGGTAAGTGGATAAATAAACTGTTATATTCAGATAGTGTTTTTTTTAAGGCAGAATCTTGCCAAGTTGCTAGGTTGCCTAGACTAGGTTTGAATTATAATTGAGCACTAGAAATGTGCTATTAAGACATGAAAAGACACAGACAACCCTTAAATGCATATTGCTAAATAGAAGAATACAACCAGAAAAGCTTGTACTGTATGAGTCTCACTATGTCACATTCTGGAAAAGGCAAAACTGAAAGACAGAAAAAGATTAGTGTTCACAGGGCCCGAGGGCTGGGGGTGGGTGAAAAGATGGAGCACACAGTAATTTTTAGGGCAGTGAAAATACTCTGCGTGATACTTTATTAACAGATACATCATTATACACAGTCACAACCCATAGATTGATTATACAGCTCCAAGCGTGAACCCTAAAATAAACTGTAGACTTTGGGAAACAATGATGTGCCCATGAAGATCTGTGTTTGTTTTCTTTGTTTTTGTTTTTGTTTTTTTTGTTTGTTTTTTTGAGACAGGGTCTCACTATGTAGTTTAGGCTGGCTTTGAACTCTATTGTAGCCCAGGATGGTCTCAAACTCACAGGATCCTCCTGCCTCTGCCTCCAGAGTGCTGGGATTACAGGTGTGCGCCACCGTGCAGAGCTCTGTGAAGACCCATTGACTAGAACTAATGTACCACTCTGGCGCGGGAGGCAGATGGCTGGGGGAGCTACGAGTGTGTGCAGCAGAGCCAATGAAGGCTGGCAGTGTTGGTCAGAGGAGATGGTTGGAGTGTATGAAACTCTGTTTGCATCTTAAGCCTCCTGTTTGTTACTTACATCATGATTATGGGTCAATACAAATAGAGATTTCCAAAGGTGCACTTATGCACATCTCACCCACAACTGAGCAATGTCAATTTTCTGTAGCGAAGAACATTACTATTTTGGTGAGGGGTAGTGCTACAGAGAGGGGTTAGGAGCTAACCATTTACAGCTGGGTGTGGTGGTGCACACCTGTAATCCCAACACTGTGGGAGGCTGAGGCAGGAGGATCAATAAGTTCAAGCCTAGCGTGGGCAATTTATCAAGACCCTGTCTCAAAATTTAAAAAATATATTTAGAAAGGACCAAGGATGGGCTCAGTGTGGGCTCAATTCCTAGTGTTGGAGAGAGAGAGAGAGCTGACCACTTACCTAGAGCCCTCTGTGTCTGTCCTTGATGCTGGTGAATGTTAAATTGAGGTGAATTTGAAGCCTTCAGCGTTTAAAGTTCTCATGTAGTTGTGAATAAAGTAAGAAATACAGAATTTCTTATTCCAGCTCAGTTTTCTTCTGTTCCCTTCCTCCCTACTGCCATTCCAGTTTTGACCCCAGGTTGGTTGGTTTGTTTATTGATGGTACTGGGGATGAACTCAGTGCCTTGCACTGAGCTACATCAACAGCCCTTTTTTTATTTCTTATTTTGAGACGCAGTCTTGCTAAATTGCCTAGGCTGCCCTTGAGCTCCTAACCTTCCTGCCTCAGCCTCATTAGGTGAGACAAGCTAACACGGAATGGTGGAGGAGGTGAGGTACCCTGGGGTTAAAGCTCCCTGCCTAGGATGGGCTGTGTTCTGTTACACTCACTGTCTTTCCCTCTTCCCCTTCTTAGTCTCTGACAAGGGACTTGTTTCTATAATTTTGTCATTTCAAGAAAGAGATATAAATGCAAGTGTAGAGTATATAAACTTTTGGATAAGCTTTTTATTCCTCGGCGAGTTTCCTTGAGGTTTATCTAGGTTATCAAATCATTATGTTTCTTCCTTTTTATTTCAGAGGGATGTTCCACACTATGAATGTATCATAATTGATAAACCATTCACGCCCTGCAGTACTTCCTGGTTGTTTGGGTTTGTTAAAAATAAACTATGTCCAGGTGTGGTGACATAAGCCTGTAATCCCAGCACTCAGGAGGCTGAGGCAGGAAGATCACTGTGAGTTCAAGGCCAGCCTGGGCTACATAGCAAGTTCAAGGCCAGTCTGAACTATATAGAAATCCTGTTTTAAATAAGGCCAGCCTAAGCAACTCAGACCCTGCCTCAAAATTAAGATTAAAAAAATTTAAAAGGGCTGGGGATGTAGCTCACTGGTAAAGCACTTGCCTATCATGTGCAAGGTCTTAGGTTCAATCTCCAGTACTAAAAAAAAAAGTACGTCTTTTGTATTAACATAACTCTTCATTTCTGCAATGCTGGGTTATGTGATTGTTGCATAGCTAGTTTAAGAAACTGCCAAATTGTTTTCCACAACTGTGCCATTTTACAGTTATCATGAGCAGTGTGTGAGTGATTTGGTTTCTCCACGTACCTCTTCTGCATTTGGGGCAGCAACCTTACTCAAGCCATTCTGCTAGGCATGCACAGTGGTACCTTGGCTCACAAACAGTTTGGTTTGCAAAAAGAAGTGTTTGGCAAAATTTTTTGTTTGCAGACTCTGTATCAGGTGACATGCAGGAGTATGGGCATCTTTCTCCCACAAACACAAACGTGGCCATCTTTTCCAAAGTCACAGAGCAAAGTAGGTTCATGGACTGAGGTGCTAATGTATAGGCCCAGTGTAGCTTTACATTGCATTTCTCTCCTGGCTGGTGTCTTAGTCTCTTGTCCTCTGCCATCACAGAATAACACAGACTGGGAATTTAGAAACAGGAGAAGTTTACTCGGCTTGTAGTTCTGAAGGCTGGGACACCCAAGAGCATGATGCTGGCACCTGAAGAGCCTCCAATCCCATAGCTGAAGCAGAAGGGCATGCGGTTCTGTGCAATGGAGAAGGGACTAAAGTTATCCTTTCATGAGGCCCTCACTCCAGAGATAATTTATTCCTGAGCTAAGAGCTTTAATCCATCCATGAGACAAGAGTGTGAGGTGTGAGGCAGCTGTTTTCCCCGATGGCAAGGATGGGGGTAGGGAAGGGAAGGAGAGGAGAGGAGAAAGAACAAGAGAGATATCCAACATGGAAGCCACAAATAGGACTATTTTAGAAATAATCTCACTTTTACCACATTTTATGCTGAAGGGAGTCAGTCAATCCAGACCACCCTCAAAAGGTGAGGATTCCACAAGGGCACGGATACCAGGAAGTGTGGGTTATTAGGGGCCATAGAAGGGCTTGCCTATCAGAATGTCTATTTGATTTTTTGGATTCTAATGCTCTGATGAAAAACCTTATCTCTTTATCTGTTGTTGTCTCTCTTTTAGACATTCCTTCAACTTAGGATTCATAGTTATCTTAAAGTTCTCATCTGCTAGCTAATTATGATACCTACCTAGATTATCCCTGGGTCTTCTTCAGTTGACTGTTTTATCTCTCAGTTGTCATTTGGTTTTTCCTGTTTCTTCTAATGTTTGGTAACAATTATAAGCTGGACAACATGGACAGTAAGTTATAGATAATGTCTCAGCAGGCCCGGAGGCTTGAATTTAGCCTTCAGTCAGTTCACTTATTATAGTTTTGCCCACATTTTTAAAGTATAGTCTTTAATCTTAGGGTGATGTTTTTCTAGATAATCTTCACTGAATTCCTGGACTATGCAGAGGAAACTTGTTTCCTCTGCTCTGACCAGTCTTCATCATCTCCCTGAACTTACAGCTGAATTTCCCTGTCAACTCTCAGCTCCCTGAAGCTGGTGTGTGTGTGTGTGTGTGTGTTACTGGGGATGGAATCCATGGCTTCACCCAAGTGCTTTATTACCCAGTTGTATCCCCAAACCTCTTTTTAAAAGTTCTTTTTAAAAAAGTTGAGTCATATCTCACCAAATTTCCCAGACTGGCCTCAGACTTGCAATCCTGCTGTCTCAGCCTCCCAGGTTACTATCGTTACAGGCGTGTGCTGCCGAGCCTGGCTGAGGAGGATCTTTATGACATTAAAGCTCCTTCCCTGTGGCTTCCTTCATTTCAGTTGCTCCCCTTCAAGTCCCACTCACACGAGCAACCTTAAAGTCCAGTTTCTGCCTCCTACCTGCATTAAGATTGCTGGGTTTTTTTTGCCTTGGATTTTCCTTCCCCAGATTGCATTCTGGAAGATGCCCTAGGGAGAAAATCCAGGTGAATATAGGATAGGGCTCGCTCACTTTCTCTCTCTCTCTCTCTCTCTCTCTCTCTCTCTCTCTGTCTCTCTGTCTCTCTCTTGTACTGTGGATCAAACTCGGATCCTTGCGCTTGCAAGGCAGGCAGCAGAACCACTGAGTTAAATCCCCAGCCCTAGAGCTCACTTCTCAAGAACCACAGTCCTGCACTGATTGCTCTTTATTCATAGTTGTTATTGTATATGTTTTATCCTTTTTTTATGGTGGGAAGAGGATAAGTCCAATACCAGCTACTTCCTCATGGCTGAAACTTGAAGTCCTCAAAGTGCCTTAGGTGGGCTCCCATTTAACCAGCCACATTTTTATTTCCACGAAAGCTACTTGTTTTCCTTAATGAGCAATTCACATTTCATAACACCATATCCTCTTGCCTTTGGGAGGTATTGTTGTGGCAGAGCAGAGAAACTTAGGACTATAGCCAAGTGTTACAGCTCAGTGTTGCAGCCAAGTGCCACAGCTCTGAGGCACAGCCAAGCTTTACAGCTCCGTGTGGCAGCTCTGGGTCACAGCTCTCATAATTTGAAGACTTGAGAATCCACTGGTCAGTAGGAGTTGGAGAAAAATCCTTTACTATGCTCCTGGAGAGCTCAGAAGATTCTGAGTACTTTACCAGAAATGAGAACCTCCTTATATAGGGATCTACTGGGTAGGCTAGCATGCTCAATGAAGCAGGGGGGTGGAGTTACAGAACATTCCTGAAATAAAGGGAAGAGTTACAGAACACTCCTGGAACACTGGTGTGAGCATGCTCACTGAAGCAGGGGGCGGAGTTATAGAACATTCCTGAGAGAGGGCAGAGCTTGACAGAACCTTCTTGTGAGGGGACAGAGCTTAACAGAACATTCCTGAAAGGCCACACAGTTCAAATAGCCACAAACCATTTTGATACTTTGGGCA